CAGTAGTCATCCTTACCTTTCACAGAGGCACCGAGTTTTATAAATAGGAGCATGATAGTGTAGAATAATCATATCCAAGGACCAGTGGTGAGTTTCAAACAATTTTGGAACCTCTTCTGTGGGTGTGGCCTGCTTTCCGGGTCACTGGTGGAACCTCTTCTAACCGGTTCGGTAGATTTGACGAACCGGTTCTATCGAATAGGTGCGAACTGGTAGGAATCCACCTCTGCCCGGTACCCACTCTCTTGGCACTATAAAGGACACCATTGTGATGACCCTGGTGGATGTGAATTAGGTGGTGTGGGTCGGAGGAGCAGGGAGGTGGCTGATCCATAGAGTGGCCGCAGGTCAGACACGGCCGAATGGCTGACGATGAATGACAGTGGAAAGAAGAAGACATTTGAGATTTCTTTCGCCAGGGGGTGGGGTGGACATTTAGGCTCGTAGGTCTCCTGAGATCTTCATGCTTTCCGCATTGGGGGAGGGGGCGGTAAAGGGCTGAAAATAACCTGCCTAGTGGGGATCCATTGGACGACACCCCGCTCTCCACCACCTAAAACTCCGTCAGCTCCATCCTGTGAAATAACCTGCAGCCTTTCATGGATTTTTTTCCCCCTTTATTTCTTTTTTTCTAGAATAATAAAACTACACATTTCCCCGAGCGTCTTACAGAGAGAGCAAAGTTACAAGCAGCTTCAGTGGGGTGGGGGGGAGGGGAGGGGTCCTCTGGGGGCTGCAGAAAGGCTGGTGGGCTAGACGGGCCCGTAGAACTGCCGATAAGCTTCCTGGAAGCCGATGTGGTCGGCCAACTCGTCGCAGGCGGGGCTGAGCTCGCAGACCTCCCGCTGGGCCTCGAGGGGGTTCACGGCCACTTGAGGGGCGGCCCCAGCAGCACCGTAGCCACTGCGAAGGAAGCAACAGGGAGAGGGTGAAGGGGGGGGCTTCGCTTGGACAGGGCTTGGTCACTCTGTGGTGGAAGGCAGGGAGGTGAGCAAGCGAGTGGGTGGGCCCCCAGAGGGGCATGGAGACGGCTTGGGACCTATTGATGGGAGTGGGTGTCTCCTCTGCAGCCCCTTTGTGTCACCACCACCACCATCCCAACTGCTTCCCCTGCTTAGGAGATCTGTGATGTGACCCCCTAAGAGCAGAGTTCCTCAAGTTACCTCCACTAGACAGATCAGATCCCACAGATTAGGCCTCCTCCGAATTCCATCCGCCGGCCAATGCCGACTGGCGACTACCCGGAGGAGAGCCTTCTCTGTGGCTGCTCCGACCCTCCGGAACGAGCTCCCCGTGGAGATTCGAACCCTCACCACCCTCCAGGCCTTCCGCAAAGCCCTTAAAACCTGGCTGTTCCGACAGGCCTGGGGCTAAAGAGTTTTTGCCCCCCCTTCTCGAATGGTATGGTTGTTGTGTGTTTTTAAATTTTGTATTGTTATGTCTCGTCTTTTTTATCCCCCTGTCTGTACCTCCTTCCCTGATTGAATTGTGAGCCACCCTGAGTCCCCTTCGGGGAAAAGGGCAGCATATAAATGTAATCAATCAATCAATCAAGTTTGGCAATTATGAGAAGTGTGGAACTCCCAGAATTAAAGTTGCCAAGTCTGAGGAATTTTAGACAAAGAGGTTGGCCTGCTGGATTACGCCTCCTTCTTCAGGGCCAGGAGGCTAGACTAGATGGCCTCAAGGGTCCTTCCAAATCAAGGTTTTTTGACACACACACACACCCCAAGTTGTGGCTTCTCACAGCAATCTGGAAATGCTCATGGAGTCCAATTGCAGGGGGAGGGGGACTGGGAATTTAGGGAGTTGCAGACTGACCCCCCCCCTGGGAAATTCAGGGATGGGAGGGGTCAGGCAGCCCAGGTGAAGAGCCCCCACTTGTCCTGTACCTGTTGAGGTTCCTCTTCTGCCGCTTCACCATTTCAGCCCCTTCACGCTTGGACACGAAAGCTGCGGGGAAGGAGGGGGTGTTTAGGTCAGGGACCCCTCCCCACCTGTCAGGGAGGGCAACTGGGAACCCCCCTTTCCAATTGGAAGTATACTGTAGGATTCTAGTCCTCATGGTTGGAACAGAAAGCAGAGGTTGCCACTTCCTCTAAACCAGAGGTCTTCAAACTTGGCAACTTTTAAGCCATGTTGGACTTCAACTCCAAGAATTCCCCAATTCAACAAGTCTTAAAGTTGCCAAGTTTGGGAACCTCCCATCGAAACCCTTCCTGCAAAGCAGAGCATGGAAAGGCACCCAGGCCATCCATCCCCTCCACCCCTGAGCGGAGAGCTGGCACAAGCGAGGTGGGCACAACCGCCGCTTTCCCTCCACTCTCCAATTCCCAGCCAGTGCCAAAGGGCGCCATCCCGACTTGCGGGGCAGGGACGGGGGTCTCTGCCGCCTCTGCAGCCCCCTTTGGCACGGCTCCAGCGGAGAGGGGCGCTTGGAGCGGGGCAGCGCCAGAAGGGTGCCAGCCTCAGGAATTCTGCCCAGCGGGAAGATGCTGGGAGCCTCAGTGGCGCCTCGAGGTGGCTCCTCTGCTGGGCTGGGGGCGAGGAGAGGGGCTTGGGGGGCCTCAGAGAAGCCGCTCCACTCACCTGCCGACTTGGGCGACCCGTCGACACTCCGGGGCTGAGCGGCGTCTGCAAGAAAGGCGGAGCGGGAGGGGGCTCAGCCAGGGGCTTCCCTCCGCCAGCCTCGTCCTCCCGGGGGGCTCGCTGCCTTTGGGGAAGGGAGCCCGAGGGGGGAGCGGGGAAGGAGGGCAGGCTGCCCACACCCCGCTGCGCCCTTCCCTCCCGATGGAGCCCAGCGCTTCTCCCCGGGGCCCCGCTGCCCACCGCCCCCTTACCTGCGTGGGCGAGGCCGAGCGCGGCCAGGGCGCAGAGGGTGGCCAACAGAAGGGCGTTCATGGCGAGGCTCCGGGCGGTTCTCTCGGTCCGGGATGCCCGGCGTCCCCTTTATACCTGCCCGAGCCGGTCTCGGCAGCCGAAGGGGCGCGCCGCCACCGCCTCCGGGGGCGTTACGAGAAGGCTGCCAGGTTCCGGGGCCGGGGGGAGGCTGGAGCAGACGGCGGCTCCTCCGCCAAGCGCCTTTGGGGCGGCTCTTCGGGATTCTGGCGGAGCTCCGAGCACTTTGGGGGCTGCCGTGAGTCGACCCCTCCCCCTTCAAGGTGGGGTGTGAGGGGAGATGTCAGTTTCAGGTAGCTTCCATTGCCGCATGTTGGGAGGGCAATCCAGAGGCCATCTAGTCCAGCCCCTGCTCCGTGCAGGCTCGTTTCTCAACCTTAGCAGCATTTATAGCAATAGCAGTTAGACTTATATACCGCTTCAAAGGGCTTTCAGCCCTCTCTAAGCGGTTTACAAAGTCAGCATATCGCCCCCACAGTCTGGGTCCTCATTTCACCCACCTCCGAAGGATGGAAGGCTGAGTCAACCTTGAGCCAGTGAGATTAGAACCGCTGAACTGCAGATAACAGTCAGCNGATCAGCCGGTGAACTCCAGAACCTTCCTCCAGCACAATCAGTAACCCCTCCCAAATACCATGCCCACCCTCCCCGTTTCATGGCAGCTGAAGCGACAGCAAAGCAGAAGCTGACATCATGTGATTATAGGTTATGAAAATGAAAAAATTAAAAAACTTTAAATGAAAAAAGGAAGGAAGGAAGGAAGGAAGGAAGGAAGGAAGGAAGGAAGGAAGGAAGGAAGGAAGGAAGGAAGGAAGGACCAGCTTCTGCAGCGTTCAGTTCCTTCTCCACTCTTTGTGGAGAAGTTCAAAGCAGTCGGTGGAAGTTGCGTTTTGCCTTACAGCCTGCATCACTACAGATCACAGACGATCTGGTGGTTGGAGAGCTTCGCAGGTGGATTCTTCCACCCTTCATCTGGCAGGGAACCTCTGCCATCCAAATCCCTGCACAATAACGTCCCCTAACTGGCTCTCCTGTGTTGCCCAGAGGGCATCGCAAATGGTCCTTGATTTACAACGGCAACTCAGCCTGGAACTTTGTTGTAAGTCATGCTGGTCATTAAGCGGGTCACACACACCCCTGAGAGCGCCTGATTTTATGACTTTTGTGCAGCAGTTATTAAGTAAATCGCCATGGTCATTGAGTGAATGTGGCAGTCACTAAGCGAATCCATCGTCCGCAGTAAGCATTTTTGGGGGGCCAGTTTCCAGGAACAAATTGCCGTCATAGGATCAGAGGACACTATAAATGGCCATAAATGGGGACCAGTTGCCAGTGCCCAAAATGGGGGAGAGGGCATAGGAATTTGAAACCCAGGTCCACAGTAGCCCAGGAGTGGTCACTCCCACAACTGGTTATAAGCCAGAACAGAACAGAATAACAAGAGTTGGAAGGGACCTTGTAGGTCATCTAGTCCAGCCCTTCCAAGGACTACTGTATTAAATGACTTGGGACTCCATGTGTTTCTTAGCTCTGTGCCCCCCAGGGGCCCCCAGCAAACCCCCGGGTCCTCCAGATGGCACGCTTTCTCTGTGGGCAGAGGAAGTGGGACCTGAGCACCCCAAATACCCCCTGTGACCCCCTGTGACTGCAGCCCTGAGATCCGGAGGCCTACGGCGCTTGGAAGAAGCAGCTGATAGAAACTCATCAGAGGGGGAACCCTACTTAGAACGAAGGAGATACTTCCCGTCAGTCACAACAGCTGAACAGCTTCCCTTCAGAAGTTGTAAGGGCTCCAGGCACTGAAGGCCTTTAAGGGGATATTTGTCCGGAATGGTCTGGGGTTTCCTCTTTGAGCAGGGGGTTAGTCTAGAAGACCTCCAAGGTCCCTTCCAACTCTGTCATTCTGTTAAAAACTGTGTGGATAACATCTGGAAGAGTAAAGGCATCAGCTTCACAACCAAATGCAGTTTAATAAATGCCATAATTTTTCCTTCCTCTATAGCAGTGGTCTCCAACCTTGGCAACTTTAAGACCTGTGGACTTCAACTCCCAGAGTTCCTCAGCCAGCTT